TCCTGCTGACCGCAACAAAGAAAAGATAACCAGTTTGTCAATCACTCGTGGAAGTGGAAGGATCATCCATCGTCTTGGATGATTGAGTCGAAGAATGAGGATCCCAGTTTACGCAAAACATCATGACACCAACGGTTGATTAACTGATGCATTCGGGAGGAAACCCTATTATAGATTCAACCAAAGTCTAGAATTCTCGACACCAAAAGACAAGAATCTCAACTAGGCCACAAAAATCCCGATATAGTTTTGTGCGGAAAGGGATTTCCTCTGGAAACTGTTAACCAATGCACATTAAGGGTACAACAGAAACCATAAATTCTTATCGCAGAAGCTGAAAAGACACAGAAAAGAAGACGATTTCGATCTCAGGATCAGCGTAAACTGGAAGTGAAATCAAACATGAACTCACGAGGTAATAACAGTGCTAAAAAAACTAGATTTATGCCGGCGGACGGTACAAGAACAGATTCTGAAAAGCAAATAACTTAAACCGGAAGAAAGATTCAGCAGACCCAGCTTGAATAAAAAACATAGACGGCAGACGATCTCAAAAGCCGACAGGGATTCAAATCCATGGATAAAACCGAAACTATTCACTTATCAGAAACAGTTGAAGAGCTTCGATAATCTTATCACCAAGGGGAACGGCGACAATTTCAACATTCGATTCATCCGTACCGGCCGGAGCAAAGAAAGATCAGTTCGGTTGCAATCCGCCGAATCAAAAGCAAAATATTCCGCAGGAAAAAAAGAAATCCACGAAAACGCCAAAAGAAATGGTTCTGATGAGACCCATGAACCGCGAAACGCCTTAACTCCAACAGATCGAGATCGAGAAGAGAGATCGAGGAGGACCCATGGAAAGATCGAGAAAACGGAAGGGAGAAAGATACCTGATGGCGAGGAATTCTGGGTTTTCTGGACTCTTTCTCAGAAGGAAAATAGTGCGGCGAATGGGAGCTTTTGGTTCAAGCGGTGAAGATGGAAAATTTCATGCGCGTGTCCAAGTCTGTGTGTGGGGTTTTATAACACACACTGTAGAGAACGTCGTTCGAATTTGACCACATTGCCCTCTATCCTTTTCTGCTCTCTTTTGGCAACAAACATAATTGTCTTTTCTTTTCAGTCTTTGGATTTCTTTCATTTTCAAGGGCTTGAAATTTATAGAAAGATTTACAATTTAAACAAATTAATCCATTTCTTTATAACTGAATAATAATGATTTTGATTATATAAAAAAAAAAGAATAATGATTTTGAGACAATTTTTATAACTCAATATATGAGTTTTGAGTGATGTAGATTTGAAAAGAAAATCCCGACTTGTAAAGAAAATGGGTTTCTTTTATAGCCACAATTATGGCCTTTTTTTTAAATGTGCATGCCTTTGTATTTTCGTATTTTTCTTCCTTTAGGTGATATTTTTTTCTCAATGTCTGAAAATTTTCCAATGTTTTGAATTTTAATCTGACCACGTTTCTAATTTATTTTTACTGATTTAAATTGGGCAATAATTTTGGAAATCTAACAATAACGGGACTTTTACGAAAGAAATATGTAATTATGTATGTATATCCGCTCTCTTCATGCGTAGGTACACGCACGTGACTATGGGTCTGCCAATTGGGCTTCCTCTTGGGCCTTACTATTACAAAACTCAAGACGCCGTCGTTTTGGTCACCGTCCAGACAAAAACCCACAAGCGTTCTAAAACCCTAGCTCCGGGGAAATCCCGATCCCCTTCTCCGCCTTCTCTTTCTCCTCTCCGGCCATGGCGAAGGGGAAAATGAAGCCTCATCTCGCGTCTTTCACCCTCTACGGCGACTATCTCGCTGTTCTTTCCCCGGACGGAACCGTTAAGTTTATTATTTCTCTATTTCTTGTGTTTCTACGACTCGTAACTCTGATTGTCTGTTTTCCATAATCTGGATATTCAGTGGCTGTTCTTCGATGTAATTTTTATGCATTTGGGAGATGAAAAGTCTCTTGTTGTTTTGGCTTCAGATTCTTACAATCAGGTTGTATAGCCAATTTCATTCGACGAGTATCTCTATTCATCAATCTTTACGTTCTGGAATGTGAAATTGAAATTAATTCCAGGAAATATATCATATTCCGATCATTTTAGTTGTTGGCTCCTTGTTGGGTATGTAAGTGATCTCTGGAATGAGTTATTTCTGTGGCAATGGCTAATTGCAAGTAGCAATTAGCTCAGTTTGGCTTACGTTACATGACATTATACAGCCAGCTCCACAGAATAAGGTAGGTTATGGAGAAATGCTGAGACGGGCGGGAGGATCAATCAGGATTCGTGCCCAGTTTCTGTGATTAGGGTTTCTAAATTATCTTGGCTGTTGCTTTAGGTCTGGAGTACTGCAGATGGAAGCTTATTAGCTAAATGTCAGCATTCGGATGGGTAGCCTGGTATAAGCAGTTCATGCATAGCTAAATCTTTGTTTGCAAGATGGTTTTCTCATTTACGTCAGTGTTGTTTATTTTCTTGTCTGGTATAGCATAAGAAGGTGCTTACTAGCTCTCGTGCAGAGGATGGTAGCATCTTTTTCATGATCTTAATGACGGATAAGAATCTAATTGCAATAGCTTCCAGGAAGTTTAGGATCTTAGAACTAGAAAACGGAAAGAGCTCGTGAAATTTCCAAATGATGTGGTGAGTGCGGCACTCAGAATGCCATACCTACTCATAACCTCTGTGGTTAAACATTAAGTTCCAAGTTTATATTTTCTGAATTCTTTAGGGTCCCATAAAGGGGATAATGGGAAGACTGTGATTACATCAGAGATTGGACAACCGTGCACAAGTGTGCAGAAGCACCGAAGCAGTACCGATGAGCAAGACAGTCCTGTTGTACTTGCCAATCCCCATTCTGGTCCAGCAAATCCATTTTTGCCGCCAAGTTGCTTTCTGTAGAAGCAGACAAGCCAGTTGTGCCCGTAGTGGCTTATGGTTCTGTGGATTCTTCCAACTTCAGCCACGTTGAGATCAGTACAACTGGAGGTTCGACCGCTAGTTCTGTTTGTTTTCATGTTTCTTCTTGCATTTTCTTCCGTACTCTGCACCTTTACGGCCTAGGTTGCTCGCATAGTCAACTCCTTTTCCTGCTTTTGCAAATCCAACAGGTGAGGTAGCTGATGCTCCAGCCCATGATAAGAGTACGAACAGGAAGCAACCCGAGTCTGATCCCAGTTTACCCGCTACAAGGGTGCTGCGAGATTCTGGTGAGAGGTGTACTGTTTGATACCACAGTACTCAGCACTCACTTTTAAAATCTTCCCCTTGGTCGTATATCACTGACAGACCGTGTTCTTTCAGTTTCCGGTCTTGTCTGACATAGGCCTTGACGAAGTTGCAGCTGGAGTTCTTGTCAGTGATGATCCTGACGAACCAACCATGGGGGAGAAACTCGAGAATCTTGATTTGTTAGAGAATGAAAAGCGTGATAACCGGGAGCCTCTAGAGGCTTCCCTTCCAGACGTAGCGCCGACCGCAGCCTCAGTCAATGTTCTTCCAGACGGGATGGCACGTACTATCAAGAGTTAAGTTGGTCACGTGCTCACCATGTGAAGACAAGTCAACTGGAGAACATATCCTGCAATCTACGCCGACACTACCTATACAAAAGCAAAGTCTACAATTGCTTTTACATGGAGAGGTACCAAAAGATGCAACGACCTGCGACACATTAATGTTGGGATTGAGAACTAATTGATTACTTTTTCTTTACTTACACAAGTGTATGTATACACAGCTTAATATATATGTTTTGCAAGGCAGAGTCTTTACATGGTTATGTAAGAGAAACATCTGAATGAAAAGGGTTTCCGCTTGAGTTGTCTTCTTCCTGAGAGTTTATGAATCTGGAGAAAATTTATCTTTCTTGCAATCCTGTTACTATCCACTCTCCACCGTTCGATCTTGAAGTTCTGGAGAATCTTCGCCCGTGTTCTCCGACCAAAATTCACGGGGGAGAGACTTGATGAGAGAAAAAGAAACCGAAGAAACACAATAACGTACTATCCACTCTCCACCTTTCGAAGTTCAAGTTCTGGAGAATCTTCGCTCGTCTTCCCCGGCCAAACTTCAGGGGGAGAGAGACCTCATGTGAGAAAAGTAAACCAAAGAACAACGATCGATCTTCAAGTTCAGAGAAACTTTCATCTTCTCCGATCATAGAGAGAGAAAGAAAGAGAAGAGAGAAGTGACAACACTGACATGCATTGGAGATTGCAACGGTGTCGAGCCGTCTCTTCGCTGCAGCCTCAAAATCACTCTAGGTAACAAATGACAAAACTGCCCCTAATAAAAGATTTATTATGACCGTTGTAAATCGGGGGAAAAAAAAAACTACGCTGGGTTGTACAAAAGAATACATTATAAATTAGAGAGAGTTTTTGGGTTCACCAAATTACTTTAAATCTCATTATTTATATATAAAGATTAATCCCATGGATTGACGACCCTTAAACATAAAAAATTGCAAAGTCACAGTAAATTTCATATAAAGAAACCTCAAAACAAATCCATCATAGATACAGTAATTCACTAACAAAATACTGAAGAAACTCCTAACGGGCGCCCAGGTTAGGACAACCATGGGCAAGAGGCATGCCTAAGTTCTCAATGGTCCTAAATGTCCGATGAACCATCTTATCCACGTAAAGCGTTCCTTCCAAGTGGTCGCACTCGTGTTGCAGGATCCGTGCTTGCCACCCCGAAGCACTCACTGTAATCCCCTTGCCTTCCCGATCGTACCCCATCACCTCCACATCAAGATGTCTCTCCACTGCCGCTCTGAATCCGTCGACACTGCCAAAGAAAATTCGCAGACACTACTGAAACGTTGAGATTATCAAGAAAATGTATCATTTCTAAATCAGACAAGCTCCCCTAAAACAATGTCTAAACAACGAAAAAGTGTCACTATGGTTCAGAGACACTAGAAGATTTCTGAGATTGAACATTGAAAGGGTTCGGTCGATGATAATGCCGTACCTAAGACAACCTTCGAAGAAGAGGGCTGTCCTGTCGCTCTTCTTCTTAAGCTTCGGATTCACGATCACCTGCCTCAGAGCAAGCAGCAAACTAAGAAATCTCAAAATCCGATAATGGCAGAACTCGAATCCCTCACACTCACTCACGGTACTTCTACCAAAAAGTAATGATTTTCAGTACCATGAGATCAAAAGGGCGTCTATCTTGTGCACTACTGTCATCTTTCGGTTGGTAACTAATATACTCTGCTGTATCTTCCAAAACTATAATCTGCATTGCCGAAGAACGTAGAAAAAGGTCAACACTTCCATTAGAATAGAGCCCATGATCCTCAAATCTGCCAGAAAGCTCCAACTTCTAATCCAATCAAACAAAAATCTGCCATATTTCCTCTCAATTCCTGAATCCTGAGCTTTCATATCAAACAAAAAAACCGCAAAATAAAGTGAAATTCTTTTGGAAATATTAAGCTCACCCTCAAGGGAATACCGATCTGAGGAGCAGCGAGACCAACTCCTGGAGCAAATCTCATAACCTTCACCATATCGTCAATGATCTTCTGAATTCGCTCCGACCCGATTTCCCCCGGGTCGACCTCTCGGGCCTGTTCGTGAAGAACTGGGTCTCCGGCTTTCACTATATCCGGCAAGCTCATTTTCTTCTTATCGCCCAGACCCAGAAACCAGCCGGCATTTGCCTTCAAAGAGGAGGAAGACGAATAACTATAGGGCTTACAGGCCACGTGGCCGAAGGGCCCGGGTCTGGAAACGGGTAATCGGGTCGGGTGAGTAATCACGGCGAATTTCGCGGCGGCGATAGACAGCGGAAGAAGGCGGAGGGAGAATCTGGGAAGCGTTTCCATGACCAGATGATATTTCGCCGGCATCTTCTGACGGTCCGACGATTTCAATTGGATATGGTGTTAGGGCCTCTATTGGGCCGTATTGACTCTATTATAACTCCCAATAGACCCAACCCAAAAAATAATATATATATATAATATATATTATTGGATCAAATACGCTATTCATAAATACAATATTTTTATTATCTTATATTAGGGAAGAAAGAAAGATATCGGTGAAGATCTGTACAAAATTAAGGAAAATATTTTATAGAGTATCAATTAATTATGGAATAGTTCATTTGTTTTTAGGGAAAATGACATTTTCCTACACCAACTTTACAAAATCTGACCTTTTCCTACACGAATTTTTAATTTGACAAAAAACTACACCAAATTATCAAATGTGCCAAATTGATACACGAACTACCCAATTTAACTGCAATTTCCTACACAATCCAAAAACGGTGTTAAGTGTCCGTTAACCGCTGACGTGGCACGCCACGTGGCGGCTGACGTGGCACGCCACATAGATTTTTTGCCACATCAGCATGTCACGTCATATTTTAAAAAAAAATTCCGAAAAAATATGAAAAAAATCGATTTTTTTTTTTTAAATTTAAAATAAAATAAATAAACAGCAAAAAAAAATATACATATATATTCATATCTATATACAAATAAAAATATAAATATATATACAAAATAAAAAAACATACACATATATATACAAACATCTATACAAATATATATATACATATACATACAAACAAATATATTTATATATACATATACATATATAAACACATATATATGTATATATACATATGCATATACATACATACATACATACATACATACATACA